TTTGTAATGTTATTAGTCCAAATTGTTTTAGCATTCTCCAATATCAAAACTGTAAGTTAATCAAAAAGAAAATGCGATATTCYGGTTGTTTTATTGTAGTTATACAGTCAAAATTATTGGAGAAATTGCCGTAAAAATACGTTTTGAGATAAATGGGGCAAATTRATCATGCGCGAATCTCTTTACAAAGCACTCTTTTCATCCCACGTTGAATACSCATAAAGTGAAATGGAAGCGCTGTTGGCTGTTTGCTGCAGTCGGTTGACATCCTGGAATGGTGAATGACCATTATYTGGCGAAGCCCTGTCCGAGAGCGTCGTGGGTTTCCTGTGTTTTTCAGTGTAGCTTGTTAACTGGCTGTGCTTTCTCACTTGTGGGATTCTTGGCAGTATGGTGAATCGCGACAGTTCGATCGATGACAGTGAAGAAGTCGGAGGGTGCTGTCCCGGACTATACCACTTTCAAAAATCTGGTGGAGGCTGGCGCGTTTGGGGACCACCGTGTTGTAGTACAATTTATAAAGTCTGGCGAGGAGTATGAGATTTCCTTCCAATCGAAAGATGCTATGCTTAAAGTTGCTAGCAATTACCGCAAGGAGACTTCCGTTGTGACTTTTTTCGTTAACGCGGTCCAGAGGAAGCGAAAATATATGTAAGGTATATGACCTGCCCTATGAGTTGGAGTGCAAGGAAGTTGGAGATGCATTTAACGAGTATGGAAGTATCGGTACTGTGAGCAGCTGCCCTGAAATGTCGTGCCACAAYTGTGGATAATRGGGTCATTTTTCAAAGCGCTGTCCTGAGCCTGCCATCAAGTCGGGTTCACAGAAAAGGTGGAGATGGAAATAGTAAGAGCAGTGTTTAAAAAGCCGAATGAGAAATAGAAACAGAAGGAGTTCCAGAAGAGAAAAGAGGTTGGTGATGGAGTGGTGGGGGCCGACGGTAAGCGTCGTAAAGAGCCCCTATCGCCTACAAGCAATACAGTCGTTGCTCGTGTAATGGAGTTTGAGTATAATGACGAYCCTGATMTTAATRTGAATTTGAACGTTGAACCCYAGTATCTTTTGCTTCGAGAATATGAGGAACAAGTAATGGACGAGGGACTCAGGTCTCCCTCTCAGTATTGAGCTTTGAACACTTTATCAGATGAACATTTGACTTTGAAAGGAACATTTTTCTATTTATGAAGAAAGTCCGAGTCGTTTTGTTTGAACTGTAAATGGTTTAACTTAGTTATATAATGTTATCACAAAGTTTTGAACCGTAGTAAGTTATGGGAAGATACTTTTATCTTCCAACGTTTCTTGAATCGTAGTTAATTTTCTTTCTTCTCTTCCAGTAGTCAGATTTCGTAATATTTGTTATTTATGTTTTAGAACATTTCTTGTAGAAATTTGGAAATTTGATAGTTGATTCCGTAGTAGTGGCTTAGTAGTACCTTAGTGCCGTAGTAGTGCCTTGAAGTGCTTAGTTGTCTCGTTAGCTTTTTTAATTTATATACATTTTGCTTATGGAGGAAGATGGATCGTAGTGTTCTGAATTGTAAAGTAAGGAGCTAATTGTACATAATAAACATTTTTATAACATCAACAAAAATCAAACCTGCTGAGACCTTTGCTAGGGTCATGGACCTTTATTTCTGATAAAGGTCACCCTTATTAGTATTCTTTATATAAATAAAGAATACTAATAAGGAGTGTTTTATCAGATATAAAGGTCCATGCATTTGACCAAATAAGCTAAATCTATTGGTCTAATAACTCATTAATTATGTATGAGTTTTTGAACAACACATTGCATACTTATACATCTCTTGTACAGGTTTCTTTCGAGGCAACCGTGGGCTCAAACACTAGTTCTAGTATTTACTTGGATGAAGTTGAAATGCTAAGTAGCAGAACAGGTTGCAAGGAAATAGAAGGTGGCATTGAATTGCCAAGCAAAAACTATTCAGGTATCACCATATCACATTCGATGTCTGCATCTCAATCCCTACATTCCGTATTAAAGCATTCATATACATTCAATTGATCCTTGCAAAAACCAAAAGCTATATCTCTACTGCTTGTAATTTGGTTTTCGTAAACCCGCGAAATAAAGTGCAATAACCAAATCATTGATACACATAAGGCCTCATATTTTATAATTTGCATCAATTCTATTCCAGATAATGCCACCATACTCAATGAAATCCACAGTATCCCATTCACTTTCCCCTGTTTCTACAAATATTCTTTTATCAACAGCAGCCAATTGCACTTTTAATGGACACTTATGTGGATGGAGAATTCTTCAGAATAAGATGGCCGGTGATGGACTGCTATGGACGATTGGAGGGAAAATGGTCTTCAATAATTTCAACAACGAATCAAAGGGTAATAAACCCTCTCACATTTCTTAGCTGGTATAGTAAAGTCTAAACCATAATGAAATTATTAAAATTGCATTTAAAGCAGCCAATTTCAGTTGATTTTCCTTGTAATTGTCCAATTTGCAAGTAAAAATGAATAATCCGTTTGAATTTCTTTTAAATTCTAAAGGATATGAAAGCAGCTATGTATACACCAATATGTTAAGTAACCCAGCCTTGGCAGACAATCGAAGTCTATCAAGCAATTGTAGTTTACAAAACAATGGAAGCTTGGTAGGGAATGGAACTTTAGCAAAAGAAGGTTTGGTGAGGAATGGAAGCTTGACAGACAATGAAATCCCAGCATGCAACGAAAGCTTCGCGATCAACGAAAACCTGACCAGAAACAATGAAAGAAAGAAAGCATACCTTATTAGTCCTCAATTGAAGTCCCCACATTGCATGAACTTAACATATCAAATCTATGGAAACGATAGTTCCCTTGAGGCTGTAATGCTCAGGCAAGGGAGRTCACCAGTCTTCTATAAAGCATGGAAGCAAATTGGTCGTACGAACAAAATTAGCTCCATAAGAATAAATTTATACTATGGTGGCCCATATCAGGTCAGTGTTGTTTAATCGTATGCAATTGTWCATTACGTAGATTGCGTTCAATATATCCATGGAATGGTTTGCAAGCTAATTTAGGCAAATTAGTGTGAAATTCTTTGTCTTTCTGTTGTTTAGCTTAATTAGTGCAATTTTGTGCAATTTCTTACAAAATATTTGTCGGATATATTGAATGCCCTCTGTAGCTTTTTTACAATACCACTGAYTTCATGGATATTGTGTTTCAACAATTAGAAAGGTCATATCTAAAAAAATCCGGCGTTTTCTTTTTTTWAACTGATGTTTTATTCTCGTTTGTTTAGGTGCTGATTATTGGCAAGCCGTCTCTGCATTTTGAGAAGGACATACTTTTATACAATGTAACATTCCTAAAAGAGATTTGCACAGATGATCGAATTTCTTCGTATGGTAATGTCGACAACATTTTTTTCCTGCTAGAATAGTTTCACTGTAGCATTGTGTCCTAATTTATTGTTTCCGCGTAATGAGTGTCACGAACCAAACCTGTGTTCTACTCTAGGTTTTTTGAGATTATTAAAATTTCTAAATAAAATTTATAAGATTTATAAGTTGAGGTTGACCACTTTTTTCATTTTCAATTTGAATGAAACGTCTTTGAAACTAAAAAATGGAAAACAAATTGAGTAACTGGGACCTATACTAGTTATGCTAATTTGTTTGTTGCTTGGTTATATTGAAAACCTTATCTTTCAGGAATATACCGGTCCTTGACCTGAGTTTTTGGGCCGCTATATTGACGACTGTATTGGTGCTACCTCTTGTTCTTGTGATGATAATGATGATTTATATAATGATTTAGACTCTTTCATTTCTTACATCAATTCATTTCATCGTTCCTTAGGACTCACTTGTGGAAATCAATTGTTGTTAAACCATAGAAATGCGGCTTATTCACTTATTAGACACTCAGTTAATCGCAAGATGGGTTGAATGAACTCTTCAAATAACTTCAATATCTTTTGTTCTTAATTTCTCGCCTTACCATGCCTACCTTGCTCCCATTGGTCTACTTTCTTTGCTACTCTCATTATATAAACTCACACTTAGCCTAGTGAGTTTCATCCCTTTTCTCCGACGAAGGATTTCACCTACTTTTTTACTTTTTTACTTTTTTCCTGATTTATGATCTTTTTACACAAATGTTTCTTTAGAAACATCGACGCAGCTCACACTATTGTACTCTTCTAGACATTCTACTGCGGAACGATATAAAATGTGATATGAAAAATTATGAAATAGGGCTACGTCATTTATTCATTTTTGGTACACTGTTAATTTCATTTTCAGTTCGCAAATATAGTGACTATGATTAGTTATTTTCAGCCAAACGCAAGCTGTTTTAATTTAAAAATATAAGAAAAATATACACTAAACTTGACGTACTGGTCTGTATTTTCTTGATTAAAATCTTCGCTAAAAGAATGTTTTTTTTCGATGAACTAGTCCGAGAGTTCGAAAACGATACATAATTTTCGTGACAGAAAGTTGCTGTTAATAAAAAGTTATGTGGCCATCACTCCGTATATTGACGAGCGATTACATTAAATTTATTGTGCGTATTCAACATCACATATAAGCCAGTAAAGCTTTCATGCATGAACAATTAGCTGCCTACCGCCTTATATCACAAAATCTAACAACAATCACTTAAATTAATGAACTAAGTATTCCTCCGCTTCCCGCTCTTGATGATTCAAAAATCTTAGAAATAGATTCGTGTGCTTTGATTTGATTTATTTTTATGCCGCGACTCTGATCATACTTTAATCTTTCCTTTAGCTGCAAATGGTAGGATGAGAAGGAGACAAATCTTTTATCGAACTATTCTTTTACTTAAAATAAACATTATTTATAAAACTGAATTTCTCATYTGCTTTCTATGTGTGTGAATTATGTCTCGTAGCTAACTGTGATTTTGAGGAAAATATGTGTATGTGGAGCAATGAAAGGAAAGACGACTTTGATTTGGTACGAGTTTCCAACAGCCATGCATGGTCCAAGTACAACAGTGAGTACTCCAGTATATTCTTCCTGTTATTTATTATTCATTATATTCAGAGGAATTTACAGATTATCGTCTTCTTCACACCTATATTTAGCAAATTGCGCATGATTTTGAGTTGTATGCCTTCTTACTGACACACTCTTGAAGTTCAAAATGTTCAAAACTGAAGTGGACCCACGAGCGCAGCGAAACGAATAGACACAGAACCATTTCACTGCTTTCTCTGAAAATGTTCTGAAAACTTATAAATTCGTGATGTACAGCAGTGTCCAGTTAGTCTGAACAAAAACAAAAAAATAAAATAAACAACAACAACAACAACGCAGTTCCAGCTGTGACATGTCTTCCAACTGAACGAGTAGAATATTTTGTCCTCGTGATGGAGAGATTAAAACGTGCTCCCCTGTTATTAGCAAAATCAAGTGTCAAAGCCCCGTTATTAATACGTTCTACGCCCCACAGGATCATCATATCTCTCTGCTAATGTGAAGGGAACAGTGGCTGGTCAAAAAGCTCGCATTTTAAGCATCTGGATGAATGGAAGCCAATGTATGCAGTTTTTGTATTATAGCTACGGAACCAAAAACAACACAATAGGTGGAGTCATCATCTATGCAAGAACAACACGTCGACAAAATCCACTATTGGCTAGATATAGAAATAAAGATGAATGGCAAACCATTGAGGTTCAATTTAACAGCATATTGCCTTATCAGGTATTGTTTTATATAGTCATGGGCATTAAATTATCAAGGTTTCAAAAACGATCACCAGCTTTCCTGCTGTTTTAATAATGATGATCGAACTACTGTAGATAAAGTATGGATGGTTTAGCTTTGTTATGATACATGATAATTATCCCGCGCATCGGACAGTTTCCTGATTTTCGATTAAAGAGGAGCAGAAACACTAGACTCTTCCACAGTCTCCTGCTCGGCTTTTGTGGAACAAAACCAGAGTCCCATAGTGCTTTTAGAAGCCAAATATTTAGAGTCGGGATTGCTGTTGCGCGATTTTCAACGACAAAACGTTACTATGCTTGAATCGAAATCACAACAAAATTAGAGAAAGCCTGTTGGTGACATACCTCAAAATTACAAAGGAAATAAAAAAAGCATTTCTAATTAACATTAAGAAGTATTTGCTTTTCACTTGAGTTTGTTTTTGGGTGGCCTTTGGAACGATTGAATTTAAAAGACTTCGAGCACTGTGATCCATACATACAACTTCCGAACATACAACTTGGTTACAGTTTCCATACTTCGTAGTCGTTGTAGCTACAAATAGAATGAAGTCGAAGACATAATATAACACGATAAACGTGCAAATATTAAATTGGGTCTCCTTTGCATCCATTCGCCATATTGACTGGTCCAACAATGCTTTTCAAGGATACTA